GTGTGGGGTCTAAGGTAGTGGCGGTAGGACAGACATGAACTGAAAATCAAATCAGCACTTGGAAGGCAAACAGAACTTGAGTGGAGAGTGCAGGGCAAGCAGCTTCTACAGAGAAGGAAAGTTTCCCTGCAGGGAGATGTACTTGACTTTTCAGACCAGAGCTCAGTGGTAACAGCCACCATACACATTGTCATGAACAGCGCCATGCTCAGCTCACCGTGGGTGGTGGTGATCCTTGCTGCTCCTTGCTAAACTAATTTGGGGACTGGGAACAGAGTACTCTGAGAGCAGGTGGCTGAAATGTGGTCACTTAGCCTCTGACACCGCACTCAGACAACAGACCCAGGAGTCCTCCTGGCTGCCTTTCTCTTTTCCTAGCCGAGCCCTCTGGGACTGGCTCTGGAATGGACCCCAAGCTCTGGAGGTGATGCTTGGCCCTCCATTGTCACCCAGGCACCTGGCCACAGGCAGAGCCAACCTCCCTTGGGCAGAACTGTGTCCACTCTTGCTGCTCACTTTGTTGTACATGCAGCAACCACAGTGGTGCTTTTAACAGTCCGATCAGATGATGTCTATCTCCTGCCCTCCTCTGGTGGCTTCTTAACACATCTAAAACAAAACCCAAGCTCCTTCTTCAGCCTCATTTCTTATCCTTTCTGCCTTATTCCCCTGGTTTCTCATGTTTGTCTCTGTGGAGAGACTTTGTCTGACAAATCCCATTATCCTTGCACCTGCAATTCTGTGGCTCTGGCCCTTGCTCTGTTTTCTCCACAAGACATCGCTTCTTAAACATTGCATCTACTGGCTTTTTAAATATCTCTCCCAAGCCCTCACTAGAATTAAAGGTTCTAGAGGAGAGAGATTTCGCCCTGTTTAGCACTCTGGTCTGTATCCCTGGGGAAGTACTGGTGGCATAATGGGAATGTTGATGCATATTGTTGAATGAAAGCATTAATTATGAGCCTTTTGTGAAAACATAATCTTTATCTGCTATCATTGAATAAAATCTTAGCAGTGAGGTAGATAAGCTGATCTTATTGGTGATAGAAGTTGGCAAGAACTGCCTGGCTTTTCTGGTTTAACACAAAGGGTCCTTGAAGAAGTAGATACACAGAAAGAGATGTGTAGGTGTATGGGCCAGGGGACATAGGTGCCACCAATCAAATCCAGACTTATTTTCATGGCAAACACTTGTAATTGTCACACAGTAGAGACTGGTTTCAACTCTAATTTCCTTGAGACGATGACCAGCCATCTGGTGGAGTGGACCCAGCAGGACCTCTGGGCCCCTGGTAACAAGGGCCTGCTGGTATGCAGTTAGAATTCTGGTCAGTTTCCCTAGGTCTCCACATGAGCACAACATAAACTACAGAGAGCTCCAAAACCTTATACTTTACATTAAGAACTTTTTTGATGCAGCCAACAGATGACCTAAAATATGGGCTCAAGGGAATCCACATACCACCTCACCCCAGAGTAGCTGGTGTTTTATTAACAGTTCAAAGCATCACCTCTCAATGGGACTTTGGGGTTTTGCTTGAGTATTATTTGGCATAAAATTATGAGAAAGGGATCCTTTCATCTAAGACCATGACAAATGATTCTTTTCTCTACTGTCGAAGCTGAGCAGTCCCCAGTGTGACCAGCTGTGTGGGTCCCTCTTGGCCATTCTTAAAGACTTCTTGGAGGAGGAGATGAAGACATTGCTCAATAGTGCAGCTTACTGAAAGTGTTCAAGGTCCTGGGAGAACAAAAGGGAGGGGCCGCTGATCATGAGCTCAGGGAGGGCAGGGTGGACATGGGTGTGAAACCTGCTCAAGGCTGCTTTGATGTACATGACCACGCCCGAGGGGGCTGCATGCCGCCTGCTTACCCACCCCTGTTGTGTGTCACGGGAAACATCTGTTGACAGACCCCACACCTCTTGCTCCCCATCTTGAATAGGAGGAGTCCTAATTCTTTGCTGTTTTAGAAAACGAAACTGGATCTGTAAGGAGCTGGTAAGCAAATATTTCAGCCCTCTAGGCCATAGAGTCTCTGTGAAACCGCTGATGTAGTGTAAAAGCAGCCACTGACAAAGCATAAATGATGGGCCATGGCTGCGTTCCTATAAAATTTTATTTACAAAACCAGGTGGTGGTGTGAACTTAGCCCATGGCTTCCCTTGCTGGTCTGATTTAGAGACCCACACAGATGTGACTCAGAGACCGAGAGAGCAGGGCTGCCAGTCACTTGTCCTAATTCACTGGATTGTGGACAAGCCATTATGTATTGATATAATTTGGAACATCTTTAGGTAAACTTAATAGAATAACAACATCCAGTCCCTTTCTGCTTGGTCATTGTGTACTGGACCCCAAGATACTGTTAATTTTTCCAAGTACAACCTTCAGTTGGTACCCAGATTTTACTCTCAGTAAGCCATGCACCCTTCTGTGAAGATGGAAAAATTATTTTAGAACCTCAGCAGAAAGTATGATCCTATCCTTTATGTAACTGCTCTTTAAATTCATTATATTCAACACATACCTCAAAGCACCTGGAGATTTAAGAGGTCCTTGTTTTTGTCCACACAAAGAAAAGTCAGACCTAGTGATCCTCATCAAGCTAATGGATCTCATAAGAAATTATAGTACAGTTTTTTTAAACCAACCTAGGTTGACTTTAAGTCTAATACTTACAGATTATCTGTAGGTATAGAACTGAATCTAGGAGGGCTCAACCTAAAGTGACTTTAATATTTCCATAACTTTATCTTTAATAATCTGAAGAGCAGTGAAGTGGCTCTGTGACTTTTGAATAGGGTGTGTTTAAAGTACCAACTTTAGATCGGGAGGGTATGGTCAGAGGAGGCACATGATCCAAGGCAGGGCTTAAAATTTGGCCTCACTCCGCCTATCTCTAGATGACTGGCAGAGAACTGGCTAATTCAAGCACAAGTATGGTTTTCAGACATGGGGTGGTCAGGCAGGGTGGCTTCTCTGGGATGTGATGCCAGATACAAAATAGGTGCACACCAGGACCTCCAAACTTTATTCACTAGCAGGGTGGGAAGGAGCTGTGACACCAGTCAGCCTGGCACTTCCCAGGGGCTGGAGCACTGAGTAGGACTCCTTATGACTGACTGTTAGTCAACTTCTTGTTGGGCCAGAGCTGGAAGGCATGGGAGGAGCTGCTGTTGTGTGGTCGTTTATTCTGTCAGCACACATCTACAGGGTCCACAGGTGCCCAAACTATGCTCGGCTCTGGGGAGTAGGAGGTGTGATTGTGGTTAAGACAGGATAGTTCTTACTTGTTGACCAAGTGGGAGAGATTGGCTACAGCACATATGCAAATAGCAGTTGTTATCAGGCCCAGGAGCTGTTGCTGGCAATGACATGCTGTAAGGGAGATGGACAGCCTTATGGGTTTTTCTGTGCACTCCGTGTGTAAGTTCCTTTCTCTTGAATTCTCCCTTGACAGAGGTGACAGTGCCCTTGGTGTGTTTGAGGGAGAGGTGAAGGCTGGGGTGAATAGTGATTGGTGGGACAGGCAGTAAGGACTGGGCAGTTTCTTTGGTACTTGAAGTCTGTGCTTGGGAGTTTGGCTGCATTCTTTGTGAAGTGGGAAGATGGTGGGTGGTTTTAAGCAGGGGAGACATGATGTGAGTTATGTTTTAAGAAAATCCTTCTGGTTCTTTCATGTGCAGAAGCTGTTGGGAACCTTGTGTCGGTGGAAGTGAAGACACCAGTTGGTGGCTAAGTGCTGTAATGGTTCAGAGGTGGTTGTGCTGTGCACGAGGGGTGCCGTGAAGGAGGTGAGGCGAGATGATGGGATTGGGGTAAATTTGAAGTTAGTGGGAACTGTGAAGTACAACTTGAATTTTTTTATTTTTATTTTTTTGTACTGGAGATCGAACTCAAGACCCTGCACTTTCGAGGCAGAACCACTGAGCTAAATCCCCGGCCCATCTTGGATTTTTTGATGGATTCATGTGGGGCATGAGGGAGAGACAGGAATCACAGAAGGCTCTTAGGTTTTTGGCCAGTTAGTTTGAATGGTAGGACTCTTCACTACGATGGCAGACATCTGGGAGAGTCAGTGAGGAGACCAAGGGTCAGTGAGGAGACTGACAAGTTCGGTGTTGGACTTATTTGGATCTATTAGATATTCAAATGGACATGCTAGTTAGACAGTTGCTTGGAGATACCTGTCACACTTTTGATCACCAGTGAAGTTTGAGTTTGAATTCTGACCTCTCTATCTCCTAGCTCTTGTTGCTCTTTTCCCCATAGTTTCTGTGTTTGCCCTGGATGTCAACACACAATCCCAAAGCCCTGAAGAGGGCATGAAAGATTTTGTGAAGGAGTTTTTATGGGCAAAGCCATGGAGTGACTCATATATCTCTGGGTTGCAATATCTAACTATAAACAGGGCTGAGAACCATGGCCTTGTCATGGGCCCAAGGAGGAGGGAAGGGCAGGGGCCAGATGGCTGCCTCAGGCACACCACTCTTTCGGACAACATACATTCATTTTACTCTTTATCCTACTCACACAGTAAGTAGGCTTCTCCATTCCCCTGTGAGTGAGAGCACCAAAGCTCCATCTAGTCACCACCTTCAGGGCAGGTTGGCGATCTCACAAAAAAGGGCTGTCATCCCCAACAGGGCAGGATGTGGTCCACTTCTGAGTCAGAAGCCCAGCTTTGTCATTCTATCTGCGCATTATACAATGGGATAGTAGGCACAGGACACTCCCACTGGGAGAGGGGAAGAATGAAAACAGCAGCCATGGATCAGCATTTGCTGACATCCTATGGGACAGGTCGTAGGAGATCCCACTTCCTGATGGTGCATGTAGCTGCTGGGTGACCTGGTTCTGCTCTCTGAGAAGCGCCTTCTCACCCAGGAATTTCCCACAACCTTTGCCTCTACCCTCTGGGACCTTCTTTCTGGTCAGTGACTGCCTCTGGGCACATGAAGGAGTCAGTCCACATCCAGTCAACCACAGAAAGAATTATAAAGATCTGCAAGTATCTTTAAGGATGTTTTTGCTCTGTCACGTTACAAAATTCCACACCTTTTCATGATAAAAACACTGCTGGGTACCAGCAAGGCAAAGACTGGGTGTGTGCAGGCATGGGAGCTGCCTCCGCTAGAGAAGTTGCAGCCTCAGGACTGTGCCGCTGCAGTCACTGATACTGCATGCACCCACACACCTGTGCTCTGAGAGGCTGGGTGCCTGGATGTAGACTATGGCCCACAGGAGGGGATGTGATCCGGTGGGAGATGACACTGAGGAAATGAGCTTTGTCACCACTCATCTGGCCTCAAGTGGTGCCGGCCAGGCCTAAGGAAACCATTCCCTTACGGCTAGGTAATCTCCAGCCTGAGAGAGGCTTAGCTACATGGAGAGCCCAGGTCTTCTGTGGGAATTGGTTGAGGACAGGCCAGTCTGGATCAACATCCCAAAGACAGGCTGAAGCTGATGTCATGGCCAGAAGGAGAAACGAACTGTGACAGAATGTCCCCGATGCTGGCTCAGCCCTCTGCCCCTCAGCCTGGTGCAGAATGTTTATGATGTGGTGAGGCTGGGCCTGACCACAGAGAGACTGAGCCTGTGGCTGGGACAGGTAGGGACAGCTTCTTTCAAGGCCTAATGAGATAGAGGGACAAGTAAAACAAGAACAAACCAGGCAGTGGGACAGCAGCTAATGTCACAAGTAGGCAGAGGTGGCCTGATTCCCCCCTCCCATGCTCAGAGGAAAGACAGGTAGACACAATGCACTTGGAGTTAAGGGCAGTGGTGGCTCCTGTTGTCCTCAGGCAGGAGGTCAGGGATGCCACTATCCACCTGTCACCGCTACTACCCAGGATGGACCCCACCTCTGGGAATTAAGGGAGAGCCCAGGTCACTCCAGAGTGAGGTTGCAAGTCTCATGTGGAAGTCACTGTTTCTAGTCCTCCATGAGTGAGGGCCATTGCCCGGGCAGACACGTATGTTGAGTGGACACCGATCATGGCCACTGGAGTGTCTTGGGAGCCCTGGCTACAGATTGGCAGGGGCATGAGGCTGGAGAGTGGAACCACTGCATCTGGCTGCTGGGACAGATGCTCCTCTCCCTGGCCCCTGAGAACCTTCTGGAGGTGGACCTTCTGTTGGGAGAGACTTGTCCAGCCTTTATGAGGGGTTCTGACTCAGAGGCCAGGTCTTGAAGACAAGACTGAGGAAATCCAAACAGGTGTTGGGGGGCCTGCTTGTCCCAGGGGGAGTGAGCCAGGTTGCACAGGTGCCAGAGGGATGCACGGAGCCTAGAGAGACCAGCAAAGAGTTGGAGTGGGCTGGGCATTCATGATCTGGCCACTGTGTCTTCAGTAGCCCTGGTGGCCAGAGACAAACCCAGGTGGGACTTGGAGAAGGACGGTGAGGTCAGTCAGGTGGCACTTGGTGTTGCTGCTGCAGGGCAAACCCACCACCACAGAAGAGGACCTGTCATCCTCAACTCGATGCATACCGCACTGCATGTTGCCACTCTGCTTTCAGGGGACTCAAAAGTCTGCTTTGTGTGGGAGTCCTTGCTGGTGTCACCGGTCCCACACATGGATGGTGTCATGCAGACTGATGAGGATGATGCTTGTCACAGGACACAGTAGAGTGGCTGCCACACATCTGTGCAGGGGGACCCAGCACCCTGGAGGTCAGGGTGGCAAGGTCTGAGGGGTCCTGCATCCTGACAGCATCTCCTTCCTGTGCCCACACTCCGTGCTGATGAAGAAAGAGCCACAGGGACAGTGACCCTGGTGGGATGCATTTGAGAAGCAGGGATGTTGACAGCCAGCGCAGTCTCTGGGCCCCTCAGGCACAGTGGGAGATCAGCAGCATGCAGGTGGCTGAGGGGTCTCTCTGTGACAGCAGAGCTGTGTCTGGTGCTGTGGTGGGAGCAGCAGGTCCAGAGTGCTGCTTGTGGCACTTGTGGCAGGGGATACCTGACCCAGACCTCACCTCAGTGCAGCTGCCTGCTTGTGAGGGAGGATGATGGCTTGATGCTGGATGTAGAGCCTATTTCTCCTGAGCTGTACTGATACTGAGGGTGGTCACCTGTGTAACCACCTCCCACCCCAGGCCTGCCAGCTCCCCAGAACAGGAGGGGCATACCTGACAGTGATGCTGAATGGACAGCCTCGTACCTGACAGTGCTGCTGTATGGACAGGTCCAGCAGGGACCCGAGTGTCTGGACCACTGCTGCTGCCACTGACACCATGGGGCTTGAGACTGGAGGACATCAGGGAGCCACAGGCAGAGCTTCAGCAGTGTGACCAGCAGTGGCTGCTGGTTGTCTATACTGACTCTGCCCTGTGCCAGGTCTCACATTATACCTGGCAGAGGGCATGAGGGACCATGGTTTCCTGGCTGGATGGCAGCCTATGCCAACCAGAGAGTGATGATGTGGCCACTGCCAAGGCCTGGAGAAGCTGAGAGCCATGTGTTGGTACTTGTGCTGGACTGAGAGTTACCGGGCTCCTATCTCACAGGACATGTGGTCCGAGGTTTGTTTTATTTCTTACTTTGGAAAGAATAGTGGAGAAACCGGTGTTCGACATGGTCCTTCAGAATGAAGCCATGACACACTGGTAGTGATCTCACAGCGGTTGACACAGGCTCACCTATATGTGCCATGCACTCTCAGAGCTTCTTCTGGCTGAGGACGAGGCCAGCGCTTGAGTGCCTTTGAGACCTGCTCAGAGCTCCAGGCAGAAGCGGATAGAAGTGCCATCCATCTTTTTCCTGTAGATTTCTTCAAACTTCTCATTCTGGGCCACAGTGAAGTGATTTTTCCAGTCCCCCACAGTTCCTAGAAGATGGAAGCCCAGGCAGGAATGTCACTCTCTGATTGACAGTGGGTGGCCTGACTCAAGCTGTGAGTGCTCTCGGGGGCCTTGCCTGTCTACAGCTGGCCACACCAGGTCCCCTTCAGTGGACGACAGCCCACCTGCAGCTCTCTGCCCTGAGGAGCAGCCCAAGGGGCTCTGAGCAGGAGGCCAGGGGCTCCCTGCACAATGGACATGATGGGGCAAGGATATGGCATGGTCTGGCCCCGCCTGTGGTACAGTGGCACATTGGGCCCTATGCAGATATGACAATGGATGGACTACGGACACTCAGCCACATGGAGGGATCTAGGACATTATGGTGACCAGAGACCTCTGACATGACATACCCACAAACAGGCCAAATCAGTGTGCAGTGATGGAGTCAGACAGTGGTGGTCTCAACAGGTAGAGAACCCAGCAGAAGGGGGCATGAGGGGAAGCTTTCTGGGGAGATGAGAATGTTGCGTGGTTGAGTGCTGGAGGTATGGCTGTATGATCAGAATTTGTTGAACTGTACACTTAAGATCTGTACATTTTTGTATGTAGATTACATCTCTGTGAAAATTATCGAGAAACCATTCAAATTAGATAGAATTTTTCACCAAGCAGTAATTGAAATAATTTTAGGTGTGGAAATACTCTTTGTCCCACTAATGCCCCTTCTGGAAAATTAGGCAATAGAAATAAAAGCATCAGGAAAGAAGAATCTATGCACAAAATGTTCAGGGCAGCATTATTCATAATGATGAACATGGAGAGCAGCAAGAACTGATGTCTGTCATCAGAGGAGAGCTGGGGAATGAAGACAAATCCACCTTGGTAGAACACAGGTTTTCATGCCCAGAGGGAGGGCTTATGTCTTGGCACACAGAAGTGTGTAACACAACTATGCTTTGTATTTCAGGGAACAAGTGTGCACTATGGGCTGGACGTCTCTGTGTCTGTGTGAGCCCAGGGAGAGTGGAGGTATACGGAAGAGATGGAGGGCAGGGAAAGGAGAGGAGAGGAAGGAAGGGGCCTAAGAAGAATGAAGATGTGTTATTATTATTTTTTTTTTTTGGTACTGGGGATCGAACTTGGGTCCTTGCACCTGCGAGGCAGGCAGCGAAATCACTGAGCTAAATCCCCAGCCCGAAGATGTGTTATTTACATGTACCAACGCCCACTAGGAATGTAATCACTATGTACTGCAAACACAGACTAATAAAAATTTTAGAAAAAAAAGCCAAAGCAAAGCAAAGTGGGCCTGTGTGGGCCGGAAGTGGGGCTGCAAGCCAAGCCATCATCACCTAATCTCCAAAGAGAGAGGTGGCAGGATGCTCTGATTTGCTGCAGGAGTATGGGATGCTGCTGGAGATCAGAAAGTGAGAGGAAACAAATCCATGCCTGAGGGGGAAACTGGAGGAGGAGGGGAAGCTGTCCTTCAGCCTCACACAAACCACAGCCCAGGAGCGTTAGAAAGTGAGGGTTGTGAATCTACACAGCAGGGGGAAGATGGCTGTTGGTGGCTGCTTCTTCTTAAATAAAAATGATAGTTTATTCTTAAAAAATATGAGCCCAGGCCAATTGGAATTCCTCTTTTGGGAATTGAAACTAAGACCCATTAAGAGACGCATTAACTGTAGTTGAAAATTGTGATGTGTGGCAGGTGTGTGCAGTGGTCAAGGCCAAGTCAGGAGCAGAAACTGAGGCAGTGGAAGCTCTAGTGCTGGCAGACAGCCAGGCAGTGGACAGCAAAGCAGGCAGTGTGGGGGTGGATGGTAGTGGAGCCTTGAAAGTGGCTTTAGAGTGAAGAGCCACACCCTCTCCCTGAGGCCCCAGACCTCTGCTGGAGTCCCAGTGAGGTCTGGACCAAGGCTGGTTCCTGCACTTCCTTTGCTGTGTGTCTCACTCTCCTCTGAAGCACTGTCAATCCCCAGCCATGTTAGAAACAGGCTCTGAGGAGAGGGATGCGCCTTGCGTGAATGAGGCTCAGCTTTGTGTTGGCACTGTCCCTAGACAAGCTGAGATTTGACAGAGGCCCCACAAACCTTTTCTCATGAAGGAGGAAATGGATAGGTCCATGAGAGATTTGGGAACAGTGGAACGATTTGTCATGGGATTCTCTTTCATTTTCTCGAAGGACGTCTCCTGGACAATTTTATCTAGGACTGCTTCTCCCAAGTTCTTTCCCATGAACTGCATCACCTTCTGGATTTCCTGCTTGGGGTTCTGGGATGAGGGTAGTGTTGGTTTGGAATGGAAGAATTTCAAAAAGACACCATTTAATCCCTCCAGTCCCCCCAGAAGTAGGCTCCAAAACAGCTCAGAAGCACAGTACTCACCCTCTTTATGTCCTCGTAGAAGAGGAAGAGAACCTGGTATCTGTCCCTCATGTCCCACCATCCTCTCACATGATCAAACCAGGAGCCCCAGGCCACTGCAAGACACAGGGGAGAAGAGGCCGCACTGAGATGGCACCAAAGCCCGTAGTCTGGAGGGCATGGGGGTGAGGGGAGGCAAATTCTGGATCAGGTGTGTCCTGGGGTCCAGACCTGCTGATCCAGAGGGTCTTGTGGATTGGGACAGCCTTGGTTCTCTTCCCAACTCACCACCCAAAGTGGCTTTGTGTTGGTTATGTGCCATCCTTGGCACCCTGCTATGGGGTCACTAGGGGTTCTGCACCCAGTGGCCCAGAAGGGGGTGTTTGCTGAGGGGCATGGGTCACCGTGGAAGGTGACTGCTGCCTCACCTGGTCCCAGATGGTAGTGGCACTGACTGAGGAGGCGCTTGACAGCCAGGGAATGAGATGTCACACATGGTACCCTAGACTCGGCCTCTTGGGATGAGAACACAGGCTGTGGAGTGCTTTCTTTTACCTTTTCCATTGACAAAGGTTTCAAAATACTCTTCCCAGGTGCCAGGGTCGGGGAGTACATTGTTCATCCTCTGGAAATGGTAGTAGGAAACCATGCAGTCCTTGGCATTCCGAGCTACATAAAGGAACTTGGGGTGAGAAGAAAATGGCTGAGAGATGTGACAGGTAGACCCTCACAGGGCTTCAAAGGGTGTCCAGGACTGGCAGGGATACATGGCTTTGTGATCTCCTCTTGTTAGCTGCCCTGCCTCTCTGCCAATTCTGCTGTTTCCACCCTGGTCTTACTAACTCACAGTCAGCCAGCCTGGCTCCTGACTACCTCTGTGCCAGAAGCAAACCCTTCTTGTAGGAGTGGTGACCTGTCATCCACTCAAAATGGCCACCTGGGCATGAGTGAGCCTCCCAACACCTTGTCTTGTTTTCCGGAAAAGGAGGAGAGCTTCATGGCTACGAGTTTGGGCCGCACTCCCTGGGCTCCTTGGCTGACCATCCATAGGCCTGGCCCTGCCACGGAACAGCCTGTGGCTGTGTATGACAGCAGACTGGGTGCTGGCTGTGGGAGGAGTCGAGTGAGTCCCAGAGTAAAACAGGGGGCCCAGGGCTGGTGGCCATACCAACTGCCGGCTCCCTCTGTCCACTCCATGAGCCTCCTTGGCCTGCAGCTGCCACCCACCTAACACCTCCCAGGTTGCTCCAGTTGTGGTCACCACCTGGGGAGTGGTCACCCCATGTCCTCCCCCATGAGTACACTCACCCTGCTCCAGGCCCACGCCCTCCCTCCCACAAGCTACCTTCCTACCTTGCAGTGCTTTTCCCAGAAAGAAGGCGGCAGCAGCACGGTGGACAGGTGTGTCCTTAACGTCCGTGGGGAGGGCATGGCGTTGGCTTTGTCCACACCTGCGAGACAATTCCAGGGACACCTTGGCATCTGCCATGCCCTGTGGGCCTGGGTTCCAGGTTCAGTCCGTAAAGTCCTACCACCTGTCTATCTCGGCTCCCCTGACTTGGAGTTTCACAGTGGGCGGTTGACAATGTTCTCACTTTGGTAGAGTCATGTGGCGTGAGGGGACAGAGCCCAGGTTAACTTACATCAGCCTCAGGGTGAGGTGGACCGAAGATGGTCCAGCAGCAGCTGGGCTGGGGCAGAGCTGGTCTAAAGCACAAACTTTCTGCTACCCTGGCTGCCAGAGTAGAGCCACATGCCACTGCCTGTACGATCCTCCTCCCATCCCTAGAGGTGCAGGAGTCACGATTTCTACTCTCATTTAAAACCCTCATGAGACACTTGCTCTGTTTGGTTGTGGTGCTTGTCTACTACAAAAGGCAGAGAAACAGCCTGGGCCTCCACCAGTCTGCTCTATGCTGCAGGAATCACCAGCAGCCGGAAGGTGGCGCCAGTGAGCGGCGCTGGCGCGGATAGAGCCTGGGACTGAGCTCAGGGTCGGGAGGGAGAGGTTGGGAAGCACTTGAACCTGGACACTGACTCATGGTAAAAGACCCCTCTGCCTGAAGGTCAGGGAGCTTGGCCACGCGGAGGAGGGTATTTCTAAAGCCTGAGAATATGAACATAGCATTTAATTCTCCATGTGCAGCAAGAAGTTATGCGTAGAAGCCTCTCTCTACCGCTTCCCACCTAGCTGGCGGGCACTGAGGTCGCAGGTGACCAGCTCTCCTGTCCTGTGATCCAGGGGCCCCGAGACCCGTGAAGGGCCAGGCCCTCTCCTGCCAGTGCCATGGGGTTGGCTGTCCTCTCGCACCAGAGGAACAGGGCCTGTTTTCCAGATCCTGAGAAAGAGGAGGAAGAGGAGGACGAGGCCTTCAGCGCCTGCCCCTGGAAGTGCACAGCTGGGCCTTAGAGATCTGACCCAAGACCCTTCTGCTGGAGACCATGGGGGTCCCTGTGTGCACAGCTCTGCACCTCATCAAGATGTGTGCACAGTCATCACTTTGAGCATCTCGATTGTGCTTCATGTCCTGGGAATCCCCAGTAATAATGATAAGTTATTTGCTGCACTGTGGGTTGAACCCAGGGCTTCGAGTATACTAAGCACAGACCTACCTCTGAGTTACAGCCGAGCCCCATCTCGACCACATTTGAGTAGCATCAGCGAATTCAGGTTGTTGTGTAACCATCAGCACCACCTGCCTCTGAACTTTGTCCTCTTCCCAAACAGAAACTCCATGTCCACCAGACCTGATTCCCGGTCCTCCTCCCAGTCAGGTCTCTCACTGTGCCCTTGGCCACTCAGGGTCTCCTACGAGTGGATGCACACAGGTGTCCCTGTTCATCTGATGACTTATGCCATGAAGCAGTGTCTTCGGCATCCGATGTGCTGTAACCTGTGTCAGAATCCCCTCCTCTGAGGCTGAATGCTATTCCACTGTGCATAGACCCACATTTCCTTTCTCCTTTCAGCTGTCAATGGACACAGTGCTTCCCAGTGTCTGGTGTGCTGAGTGATGAACACAGGTGTGCAGATGCCAGTTTGAGTCCTGGTGTTCATTTTCTGTAAGTAGGACCGCTGGACTATATACACAAAGGAAAGCTGCAGGCCACTCTGAAGGGCATCAATGCCCATATTCCTCAGGAGGCTGCCAACTGTTCCTCCTCTATCTCTGTCCTCAGTGCCCAGCTCGACCCCTGCTCAAACTTGGCCCTTTGTTCACACAGGTGCTCCCCTCGGGCTGCCTGCATGGTGAATGTGTGTCCTCGTCAGGCCCTGTGCCCCACTGGGTTCCAGGCACTGTGTTCCTGAGTTTCTGTGGCACAGGTCCCGGGTCTGCCCTCAGCACTTGCTTCCTTGGCTGCTGGTTCCAGCAGGGCCATCTCCCCACCCTCATTCTACAAAGCACTTTGTGAAGCCATCAGGTTCCTGAAGCAGCTTCTTTTGCCTCCAGTTTTCTTTTTAATTTTTTTTAATGTATGAAGAAAAACTTCCAGGTCAGGCTTTTCCTGAAAAGGCCTTCTCTAGTGAGCAGTATGTACTGTGCACATGGATTACAAGGCTCCCTCTGGCACCTGACTTTGTGGGGTGTGGGGAGATGTTGCCAGGGCCCCAGGCAGGTTCCCCCTTCCTGTGAATCCCCACTGACAAGTGACCAGAGGGAGCTTCAGAGAACAGAAGGGCAGAATCTGACCCTGGCATGCACCTTGTTCCTTGCGTCACTCTTGGCAGATAACTTAGCTAATATGAAAAAAGGGGAAAGGAAAAGGAAACTTGTGACCATAGAAACAGAGGAGGTGAGGGGAGAACAGAGAGGAGAGAGCTAGGGATGGGAGAAGAGAGTAAGGAGGAGCCCAGAGAGACAGAGAAGGGGAACCAGGCCAGTAGGGGCTCTTACCTGAGGGCTGGGGTGGCCGTGCCCACTCAATGAATGGGTGGCGGTGCTGAATGATGGCCCGCTGACACTTCACCTCATCCCCGTCCTGCTGAATCATGTCCACGATTTCCTGAATCCACGTTGTCCCTGAGGGCCAGAAGAGGAGAGAAGCAGAGACCTCAGATAGCTGGCCCTGAAGCATGTGGAGTGAAGGATGGAAGCAGAGATGGGTGTGGCTACCACCACTCCTCTGGCCAGGACTCCACTAGCCATGACTGAGGGACATCACGACTAGCACCCCAATAGCCAGGACAGAGGAATGCCATGTTGGAGGGACCTCGAGCCTGTGTGGGGAGTGGAGCCACAGAAACCAAGCTCCTGCCCACCCAAAGCAGTACAGATCAGGCATGGGGTGGCCCCAGCACTGTCTCCTGGGCCCAGAACCTGGGTCCCAGGTGCCTGTGCACCCTGTCCTAGGCAGGGCATGGAGCCCTTTGGGGTTGCCCTCCCTCAGCACCTGACTTGGGGTAGGTACAGATGAGGAGATCGTCTGGCTTGGCCTCAAAGTTCTGGATCTGGCTCCAGTTGTCTACCATGGCAGCCTGCAGTGGTACACCTGCCACCTCCACCAGTGGCTTCCTTGACCCTGTGGCCTCAGCCATCATGTCCTGGGGTGCAGGATCCTAGGGGAACAGAACAGAACAGACTTTCTGATAAACACAAAATTGACCATTGTGCCCAGTTCTAGGTGTACAGTGTGGTAGCATTGATTATATGCATGTCGTGTGCAGCCTCCACTACTGCCTATCTCTAGAGGTTCCTATCTTTCTGAATGGAAACTCTGCATCCAGAAAACACTGAGGAGCTTACCCAGCCTGCCCTGGCTGCCACTGAGCCTCCATATCTGTGAAGCTGACTCTGTCTGTCCCTCTGTGAATGACTTGTCTCCCTTAGCTTGATGTCCATGAGGCTCAACTACGTGTGGCACATTATAGGGCCTCCTTCCTTCTTAAAGCCGAATCTATTCCCCACCTGCCTGTGCTGTCTCTTACTTTGCTGTGTGTTCACCCTTGGATGTTGGGGTCACTGCCACCTTTGGTTGTTGTGAATGATCCTGCTGTGAACATGGTGCACATATACTTCTTTGAGCTCTTGTTTTTCGTTCTCTTGGCTGTGCACCCAGACACAGAATTGCTTGATCAAGTATTTGGCTTTTTTGAGGAAGTGTTATGTCATTTTCCACAGTACTGTCCCACCATGCAATGATTTCAGTTTCTCTAAATTGTTCCTCTCCTCTCTGGATGGAGCTCCAGGGGGAGCAGCACAGCAAGGAGGGTGGTGGTGGTGCTCAGATGGGTGCGGCTGTGGGGACCCAGAAGCAAGTGGGTTCCAGGGATCTTAGGGTTAGAACCAACAGTGCTTACTGATCTAGTGTGAGGGAATAGAATCCAGAGTTAGGCTGGCGTGTGGCGGGGTGGGGGGGCAGGCTGGAGGAGGGCAATTCTTGCCTGGGTCTGAGTCTGAGCGGCCTCTGGGATGTTGCAGGGCCTGCTGGGAGGTGTAGGGTGAGTCTAGAGTTCTGACTGAGAGACTAAGATTTGAGAGTCACCCAGTTGCCAGTTGGCCAATTCCAGCAGGTGTCATGTACTGGGCTGTGTGAGTCCAGGAGTGTTAGCTTAGTCAGGCAGTTCCCATCTCTATTTGAGTGAGGAGTTTCAGCTCTACATTTGGGAGCAACTGTGTGATGAATGTGACCTTTTCTTGGGCTTTGATGTGTGGTCTGATCCTCTCCCTCAGGCCAGGCAGCAGCACAGAGCCCCAGCACCCAGACAGCCCCAGGTTACCAGGGGTCAGCTGACACACTACAGTATGGAGCTCCCTACCAGTGTGGCTGGCACACATAACCTTATGTGGGTTCGATGTGTGAATTTTCAATGCTGATGCCATATCGGGACATTGCCCCATTGGAAGGGTGCCTAGTGCTCGGGGTTTGTAGGGCAGTGAGCAAAGGAGCTTCAGAACCTGCCCCTGCCGGTAGCCGGAGTCACAGGATGGTGGGGTCACCTGTCCAGGGCTTAAGCCCTGCCATGCCATTGTGCTGGAGGTCTACACTGTTGTGCTGGCACTGACTGAAGCTTGGGTGGGCAGTGGAGCCCAGGCTGCCAGTCCTTCTCACCATACCTGAGGAATGGCCTCATCAGCACATGTCCCTAGCAGGGGGTTGGGGACACAGATAAGCAGCTGGCCCTGAGCAGCCAGCCAGAAGCTTTGTGTCTTCTCAGGACAGGTCAGCTGTGGTCTTTTTGATGAAGCCATCCCTGTCCCTGGCTCCATGGACAGAAGTAATCACTCCTCCCGTGGAGTCCTACAGCAGCTTGTGCATATACTTCCTATCCTTTACTCCACTGTCCAGTAATTACGCAACCAGCCCTGGAGCAGTGGCTTGGGTAGGTCCTGTTTATAGGCCCAGTATGGGCTGTGGTAAGAGGCTGGGAACAAGGGAGGGCCCTTGGAGCCAAAGGGACAGTCACAGCTAGACAGGTCAAGCTGGTCCTGGGAGGAGAGGGAGAGGGCTTTGGGGAAAATATCAGAGTGGAAAGAGGGCATGGGGGTGTGGGAGCTTTTGGAGGCTCCTGACTGATTTCAGGTCCAGCAGAGTCAGGCTGCTGTCTATTGACTATATGCATCTGCACATTCTTTTCCAGTTCCTTAGGATCCTTTCTGTTGGAGTAAATCTACCTGCACAGTAACACCTGCACGATGGCAGACTAAGACACACAGACAAGTTAAGCACAGCATTCCTCTTCCACCACTCTCTTACCTTCAGGTTCTCTCTGGGAGTCAGGAGCCCAAAGCTGACCAAGGGCTGGGGCACGGGAAGTGGCTGGTGGTGGTGGGTGGCTGGTGCTTCTGAGCACAGGCCCCGCAAAGGCCCAAACCACCGCTGCCAGTGTGGTCCACAGAGCCGTTTGCCTGAGCTTTGGGATGCACAGAAGCCACTGTGACTTGCCTGACCAGGACGCCCCTCCCTCTGCACCCAGACTGCTCAGCTGAGGCCTAAGTTCACTGCAGCCTCAGCTCCAGGACTCCTGCAAATGCAAGCTTTTGGAGGAAACACCTAGCAACCTTTCCCTCTGTGAGCTCCAGGGCCTGTGCACACAGGCTCCTCCTTCCTTGGTCAGTCGGGCAGAAGATCTAAAGTGGGCAGGTCCTGGGTGTTGCTGTGCTTATGGTTCAAAGAAAGCTCTGCCCGAAAGCCTGCAGCCTCTGTCCTTCCCTAGAGGAAGCCGGCCCCTCCCTGGGCACACAGCCCCATCAGTCATTTAGGCTCAAACATGAGGTTGATTTAGTGCCCAGACGTACCAAGTCCATAGGTTACCAGCCACTGCGTTTATCAGTCATTTCCTGAGTAACCCTGCCTGTGCCTAAAGCTAAAAGGAGCTTAAATCTGTGCCGGGTTGGGGGTGATGGTCCACCTCTTCTCAGTCACTTAGGCAAATTGGGTAAATCTCTCCTTGTCCCACAGCTCATCCTCAATTCATTGGGCTCTGTTCAAGTAGTGAGCAGTGGAGCAGGGTTTGGCAAGAAGGGATGTGGAAAGTTGGCTCCAGGGCCAGCTGTGTCCAGCCCCATGTGTCCTGAGCCTGAGGTCACTCTGTATGGACAGAAGGTGGCCGGGGACCTGTCTCCAGTGGGTGCCTAGGAACAGAAGCCACAGTGGTAACAAAGACCTAAGTACTTACAAGAGCTGGTTCTTCTTTACCTGTGTCCCAAACTGTGCTCACCAACCCCACACTCGATGAGGACAGAGAGGAAGAGCTGCCCGTGTGTGTGCTCACACCTGCCTTGTCACCAAGACACTCTTTTTTGGAGGCAGAGTCCAGCCCTGTGTCCTGCTCCCTGGGGGATTGGACTGACCTGGTGCTGAGCAACCCTGCGCTGGGGTCCTTCTGCCCCTGGCCAACCTGGCTCAGACTTTGAGCTTTTCTTCTGGACCTCAAGTGCTCCACCCCCTCCCTGCCAAAGCTGCCTGTTTTCTGTGACCCTGAACCTCCCAGGGCTTCGAGGTGCATGTCCTCTTCCCCAGAGCCATGTTTCTTCCTTTAACTGCAATCTAGCTGTCTTCCTTCCTTTCTCTTCCCAACTCACTTAGCCAGCCCTGAGCACTCAGCCCCTAGCTGACGCTCAAGTTCTTAGCGCTGATGCACACTCTCTCTCTGATGTTCCTCTCATCCAGCCATCTGCTTGCATGTCTGGAGTACCACAGCCATCTGCTCTGTGGCCACCCCAGCCTTGCTATAGTCCTCAACACCTCGTAGGCTGTGTCTTCTACACCAAAGCACAGGCCTGTACTCCTCCCCCTATGTAATGATATCATTTATTAATTTAACATTTATATGATAAATTTGATATGTATTGAGGGAAATTGTGAGTAGGATAAGCCCACAGTCCCTGTAGCCCCGGAATCTACAGTCTGTGACCACTGTGTGCAGCCTCAGCCTCCAGCTCATGGTGATGAGCTGGATGTGTTCAGACTCGGGCAGCTTTGCTCCTTTCTTCTCTCCCCTTCCAGTAGGTAATTTAAGCCCAGTTTGGATGAGTACCCTGGTTGTTTCTGGCCCAGTCTGGATGTGTCCTCTGATGTCACCATCACGGGCCCAGGCCAGTGGAGGGGAACTTGTACCTGCAGCACCCACCTCTGGGGCCCTTGTGCTCTTCCTGCCCAGCAGCTCCTAGTCCATTTCTGCAGAGCCAGCCATCCTGTCTGGGGTTTTCCTTAGGCTGCAGCTGAAGTGGATCTCTGCTGTCGTGTCTTCAGAACCACAGTTCTGTAAGGCTGACTCACACCACACTCTCCAGCCACTGAATGTGCACAGCTCGGTGGATTTCATTGTGTCACCAACACCTCAGCTTAGGATGATTTGACCAGCCCACGAAGAGGCCCTTAGCCATGACAGTCTCTGCAGCGCCCCTGCTGCCCAGCGTTGGGTGCTAATGGTCCACTTTCCACCTTGCATCTGCCTACTGCAAACATTTCAGATAAACTCAGTGATGCATGAAGGTGAACTGAGTTTCCTGGTATGCAGTAGTCCAGAGAGACTCACGGAATACCCAAGTTGAGTTTACTTTTCTCTTACAGCAGTTTTCTTTTTTTTTTTTTAACTGTAATGAATAAGATAACTACCTTCCCAGAGCCTCAGTGGTCCTAGCTGCACAATGGCACCTTCTCAGGGTGAGCCTGCAGTACTGTTTTTAATGAAGAATATGTCTAATGAATCTTCCAGCCAGAACTAGCTATGTGGTATGATCTCGGCGATTGATTCCTTGTCATTTTCCCATTTGACAGAGTTGACATATTTATTGAATGGATAAATGAAAGCACAAAATGAAAACCTTTAGTTTCCACCCAGTCTGGGACTCCATGGCTTCTTGAGAATTTTGCTGGGGGTCTGTCCTGGGTACAATAGGGAGAAGCAGCCTCATGACCCTGGCTGTGGGCACAAAGAGGATACTGTCCAGGTCCCAGAGGGGCAGGGGCTGTCCCTGGCATATGCTTTTGCTGGGGATGCTTCCTCCACAACTTCCCAGGCCCCCTGGGTCTTTCAAGTCTGCAGAGCAGTGGTTTCCTTGAGCCTGGGGTGAGTGCTGGACCTCCCTGTGTCTGCCTCCTCTGGGTCCTGCTGTGACAGTTGAGCTGGCTCAGTGCATCCCTGGGGTGTGCTCTCCGAGCTGTGTGACTTTTTGTTCCTTCTGTTTTTGACCCTTCACTGTTCACACGATTACCTGTATCTCAGGCCATTTTTCTCCTTAGCTGTGCTCATGACCTTTAGTTCTCCTTTCTTATTTCTTGCCTAATTCCTATCCTGGGACCAGGGGAAAGGATTACATCTCTCTCTCTCTGCTACTATCTCCTTCCCTGGTTGTTCTCTATCACCCACTGCAACTCTGGCTGCAGGAAGAGGGATCCCCAAAACACAAAGGAAAGTTAGAAATGAAGAGGACACACCCTATGTGTTAGATTCTCAGGTCTGCATTACTAGCACCATGGACTGGTCCAGTTAAGCAGTGGCAGGATCTGTCTTGCTGCTCTGGAAGGCATAGCCCAAAACACAGGTGTCACAGGGGTGAGTCCTTCAGAGCCTGAGAGACAAATTTTCCCCAGGACTCTCCCTGGCTTCTGGTATCTTGTTCCTTGGAAAAATGTGTCTCAAGTTCCAGAAGACTAGAAGCATATTTCAAGCATAAGCAGCTTTTAGCTATGGGCTTCCTGTGCATACTTCAAGTCCTTCCTGCCTTGATTTGTGACCACAAATGCACCTTCCACATCACAGAAAGGCAATCCCATGAGTAGCAAGGCATCAGGTCTGTGCCGGCCCAACACCCTTCCAGGGTGTCTTGACTTACCAGGCGACGCTTCATGTGTGCGTGAGAACCATTCGAATAAACGGATGCCACAGCGGGTGAAAGCACAGGTGAAACAAGGTGTTTAGCAGGAGCCTGTCTGTGGACAGTGGCGGTGACTGTAGTGGAACTCAACCTGGCCGGTGCCCTTGTGCTCCTCAAGCCTGGTGACAGGAAGAGGGACAGGAGAGGACTAGGTTCTGCTGCCCTGTGGGCCCCACCTCTGTCTGCACCCTAGCTGTGGCATCAGACCCCATAGATGGAAAGAGGGGATGAAGGGCTGTGGTGGTGCCAGTGGCTGGGCCTGGCCAGGTCTTACACCTGTGGGCACTTTGGTGTCCTGCTTGAGGCTCCCTGGCCTTCTTGTGTCCTGGGGACACATGCCCGACCCAGGGGGCTCCCTCCGCTCCTTGCTAACTGTGGGCACTGTGCTGCTCATGGGAAACAAGCACGCTTTTGTCCTGACCCAGCATTTGGGGCTGCACTCACCCAGCGGCCGGGCTTGTTCTGTGGGTTACCTGGTGGGACTCAGAGCCTGTTCAGGGCATCCCAACTGTGATCCCTGGACCAGCACTTCAGTGGCAGGAAAGGAAGGAGGAAGCATGTGGACTCCTCTGTGGAGCCAGGTGGGGACTCAGTGCAGATCTGCTCCACAGACCTCTCTTCTTTGAGCCCCTCCTTATCTCTCGCCAGTGCTGTTTGACCCAAAGGAGAGTTCCAGGAAGCACTAGCAACTGATCAATGAGTTTCTTCTAAATCCTGTGCATGTGGGTTCTACCAACACTTCCTTTGATAGTTAATGTTTATATACTGGTTCCTGAGTCACAACTGCCATCATTCAGGTCTGCAGCATCCTCCAAAGACCCGTGTGGTCAAGTCTGGCTCGTTAGGGCGTGGGGTCCTGAGGCTGTGACTTGATGGGTGGACCCTGGCCTCTTACTCTCTCTTTCATTCCAGCCATTTGGTGAGCAGCTTCCTTTGTCGCATGCTCCTGCCATGACTCACTACCTCCCCAAGGGTCTGAGGCCACTGAGCATGGACTGAGGCCCCTGAAACAGTGACCACATTACCTTTCCCCTCCACAAACCAACCATCTCAGGTTCTTGCTGCAGCCATGGAGGTGGAGCCCACCCTGGCAACTTCCTTGAGCCAGACCTCCTACTGCATTGTGGAGGTGAAGGGCTGTTGTGTGTGACACTGTGGCCCATGCCAGCCTCCCATGCCTGAGGGGCTCTGGGCCTGTCCTCAGTGTGGCTGTCACTCAGGTCACCCTCCTGGTGTGTCCATGGGTTAAGTGGAAAGGGTGCCTTGGTGGTCCAGGGTATGGAGGGCTTTTGTTTCCTGTGGTGTCTGGGGTGGAACCCAGGGCCTCATGTGTGCAGATGTGTGTAGCACTGATCTACTCCCCAGCCTCATGCCCTTTACAAATATTTTTATTAGCCAAGGTCATCTGAAATTTATTCTGTCTTTTAAGGAGCTAACAATCCCATCCACCTTTGAGAGTTAGTAGTATATTTGATGATGTTAAGGTCCATTTCCTTTCAAGGACTGAGAGGAAAAGCGACAAATATATTCTCACCTCTCTGGTGACTTAGTGGTGGCAAAGGCAGTGGCCTCTCTTCTGATGAGGAAGCTGGGGTCCGGGTCCTGATTTTCCTGGGGGGCTTCTGACTGGGCCTTCTCCAGGCCACAAAGGTATGTAGGCACATCTGTCAGGCAATCAGACAGCATGTAGGTTTCTCCTTCAAGAACTTG